ATATATATATATATATATATATATATATATATATATATATATATATATATATATATATATAATCAAAATTCAACTAAAATAATAAAATAAAAATAAAAAAATAAAACTAATTAAGGGTCACTCGGTATATTTTGGTTTTCTAAATAAGCTATATATATAAATGATAATAGAAACAACGACAAATCAAAATAAAAGAATGTGGTGGTTTCAAAGGGCATAAAAGGAAAAGTTTAATTTTGTTAAGTGGATAGATAAAAACTATAAGTGGATTTATCACCTCCCTTAATATATAGAGGAAAGTTTTACATAGATGTAGCGGGTAAACGAACAACAAGCTGTGCCGCAACTCCTTTTTGGATGGCAAAACTAATTTCTTTTAATGGCAACATCTATAGATCTAGGAGTCATAACATTACTATGCATGACGCGTTGGATCCTATTGAGTAGCTCCACAGCTTCTGGAGCAAGTAAACCGAAAGTGTCAAATTTAAAAGGTATAAACGTGTGTTGATTTTCCATGCACGCTTTTTCACGAGTTATGATTTGTGGTGACAAATGGTATATCAAACCATGTGTATAAATATTGGTAATTGGTATTTTACGTAAACAATTAATTTCAAATGTTTATTTTTAAAGTAGAAGTGCACGAACCTTCCTCATTTTTCTCTTTGAACATAAGGTCAACTTTGAAGAAAGAAAAAATCTAGTCCAAACTACCAAACTAGTTTTGTTGAGTCTAGCCATTCCAGCTAAATTTATTTATTGAACTAGTCTAGTTTATCAAATTTTCAAACCAAACTTACAGTTAGTCAAAGCTAAACCAAACAAATTGCAAAATGAAAGAACAAGGTTCATACACCAATCAAAGAAAGAAAAAACATTTGATGCTTTCACAACCGATAGTGTATCTTTAATAGATACAAACTTCCAATTACAAGTAATCATTTATGTGTAAAGTCATTAAATTAATCATAACAAATAAGACTAGCACCAATATGAAATTAATCAACGCATAGTACCAATCTTAAATTAGTCATAAATAGCATCATGAATAAATCTCAAAAAAACAATCAAGGAAACACAGGTTATGCCCCAAGGTTACGATCATTTCTCGACAAAGTTCTTTGCCTTAAATAAGTCGATGGAAATGGTTTCATCTAACTAGTTTTTATAAACATATTAAACTACAGAAAAAAACATCATCCTAGTGGCTAGTGCAAATGCACATCACAAAAACTATTATAAACATGTTTTTTTTCCCAACATTTATAGATTGATCAACACGTAAAAGGATGACAAGCGGTGCATATTTTGATATCAAGCGTGATACCATTACCAATGCACAACATTGTTTGGGTAGCAAGTTGGGAAAAATCATCTCTACGATCCTGACACATATGGTGGCCACACAAGGAAGACCTTCCAAAATATTTTGTATGAAGTCTTCAAACTGCCCAACAGACTCGGGTGCCAGCCTGCAAGGATATATCGGGGGTTAGAAAACTTATTTGCTTGCTTGTGGAGACAGTCCATAATACATATAATACATGCCTGCGAGAAGTTAGAGTTGGGACGGGAAGAACCCTGGAGACATAATTATGACAAAAATCATATGTTATACCATCCATAAGGTTTGCATATGTTAGAAAGTGAAATCAGTCGACTAGTTAGTTAGGGAGGAGTATGCTACACATCCCCTTAACTCACATTTTCTAGAAAAAGGGTAATATGGGAAGTTCAACGAATAAAGAGAATCTTTGACAGCGTATGGCCGTTTTGAGCATGGGGAGAGTGGATATGAGGTATTTGGTTTTTGTTATAGGATTTATTCATTTTGGAGAGTGGCTTCTCGAATTTGCCAGGTTACCCCTTTGTTCTTAATCATTTGGGTGATAATATAATATGTTTTTCTTTAGTTGATTTATGTATTACTTGTTCTATTAAACGAGTTCATAGCAAAGTAGAATAAGTAGAAGTGGTTAGTTAAATAATCATTGTGTTAATTGTTATCATTTGTCCAGGAGAGTTTCGACTCTAAGGTCTTGGGTTTAGGGTTTAGATCATGGGAACAAGATCAACAACCATCCGAGTTGATGAAATTAAAGGAGGGATAACATGATTACAATTTACACAAGCAAAAATCTATTCCAAATTCGAATCATTAATAGGTAATTTGCAACCAGT